TCATTCAGTGATACAGGCAGCTTTTCTTTTTACAGTGGTAGGCACAACAGGGTTCTTGGGTGTTCTTGCTGGCCAACTTCCTGGGGTAAGTTTTCTTACTACCCTACTTTTCTGCCATTAATTTTGTTCTCTTTTTTTGGAAAGTTCATTGTTGCATCTCAATAAATAGCTTTCCTCTTATGGAGAGAGCAGAAACAATCTGGTTTATAAAGCCTTTTTCGCACTGCTTGGTATGCCGATAAACACACTGGATAAGGGGGCCGAGTCTTTCATATGGTTCAAATGTTACCGTCACTCTAGATAACTATTCCTTGTTTGGTTTTGTGGGATAACAATCTATCGTTTATCATCCGGACTAAACCCCAGCTGGCAATCCTAAGAGTTGGTAGGCTGGGATTATAGTCCAACCCTCTTAGCCCGAGCTCTTCCCTAGCTACTCACCACTTGTGTAATAGTGTAAATCACCTCACTGGATAGATTATGTTGCTAAATAGATGAATTTTTATTTATTTATTAGTGATCAGCCTCATGCCCCGTACATGGCGCCTTAATTACTATTATTTGGTGACTTTATAAAAATATTATGGATGTATGTGGCGTCAACATGGAAATACTTTTGGGGTTATTTGCAAAAAATAACAGTCCAATTGTCAGATTGTTACGTCATGTTTAGCTTGGTGTTGCTCCAGCACCCAGATGTGCGTAAAGTACATTGATGCTACTGTGTATGTGTACACGTTGACAGATACTTGCAGGTCACATTGTTGATTCCTTCTTTATGTTTTCAGGATTGGGGTTTCTTTGTTCCGTACTTGATAGGAAGCATATCATTAGTAGTTTTGGGGATTGGAAGTACTTCCCCAGGGTAAGTCGTGAGTTTGGCATTCTTCTGATTCTCATAATGACTACTTCTTGAAACCTTAACAGTTAAGATATCCATCAAAAGAAGAAGATACATTCAGTTGAGCTTTTTTTCTACTGCATGCAGGTCGTTATGGCTCATTCTTTTATTCATTATGTAGGCTCCTTCAGGCTGCCATTGATGGATTTTCATCATTTTTTCCTGATTATCAGGAGAGAATTGCTAGACACGAAGCAGCTCATTTCTTAGGTGACATCCCGTTTCAAGTTTCAATATTATCGTTATAAAGTTTGACCAAATGATTGCAGTATCTGGAAGTTACATCAGTTCACTTACTAAGAGGCGCAGATAGTTTCTAAGTATATCTATCTATCTATTAAGGTGCATATGTATATATTTCACATTCAAAATGGAAGTGCTAGTTCATAACAATCTGTTGAAGGACAATGTTCAACACTATGAAAAAAATAGTCTGCTCTAAAGTAGCATGAGTAATGGCTGTTCTCATGATACAAAATTAATTCGGCAACAAAGTAATTGAGGAGAATTAGTATCCGGGAACTACTATTTACCATTTCAAGAAGTTTTATCGTTGAAGATGTCAGGGTCAAAATGAATCGATGAAAGTTGTAAATTTGGTGTCCGCACTTTTCTACATCTGATCATGTTATGCTGTTGATATGTGCATTTTTTTCTTAAGATCAACGCTTTGATCCTTATTGCTATTGCACATGTAATCATCCTATGCTCTCCATTCTTGATATCGTTGTGAATATGAAGCAGCTTTTTCACTTCCCTTCTTTTATGTATTATTTACTTCTGCTTCTACTCTGATACCAGCTTTCCACTATTAAGCTGGTGCTTGAAAAGCATAGATTTGACAAGTGTACAATGTCGGTTTCAGTTGCCTACCTAATTGGTCTTCCCATCCTTGGGTATTCACTGGATATTGGGAAAGAGCATGTCAATTTGATCGATGAAAGGCTGGAAAAGCTGATCTATAGTGGGCAGCTTGATTCAAAAGAGCTAGACAGGTATCGATCTTAAATCAAAGCTACTTATATATAATTTTCACAGTGATACACACACACACACACACACAAACGGTCCACTTGGTGTCATTTCGATGGATATGTGTATGATTAGGGGGATACACGTGTTCAACTGCACTTTGGTCCGTGCTTCCTAGGATTCAATGACTCTCATCTACAAAGATGTTTAAAATATAAAAAAAAGAGAAATGAGCTGGAAAAATGAAATTTTACGAATAGTTGCATTTGTCAGGCTGGCAGTGGTAGCGATGGCCGGGCTGGCAGCAGAAGGGCTGAAGTATGATAAAGTTATTGGTCAATCAGCTGACCTTTTCACTCTTCAGGTTTAGTTTAACGCTATTTGGGAGTTACATTGCCCTTTTTCTGGATCCATTTATCAAAAATAACTCTTGCTCTTTGTCTTCACAGAGATTTCTAAACAGGAGCAAGCCGTCACTTAGCAAAGACCAGCAACAGAACCTTACAAGATGGGCGGTGAGTCTAAAACCGGACACATATTGTGATAAACACACCCAAACATATACAAAATTCAAGACGCGCAAATAGAAAATTGTTTGGTTTGACACTTTTGAGCTACCCAAACATCTCAATTACTCCTACATTGTTTTATGTTGAAAGGGGATCCAAACACGAACATAACATTGTCAAAATATTGCAGGTTCTATTTGCCGGTTCACTACTGAAAAATAATAGCAAGCTTCATGAGGCCCTAATAACGGCAATGGCAAACAAGGCATCGGTCACAGAATGCATAGAAGCAATTGAGAAGGCAGCTTGACCTTGCACCAAAAATATAACTAGAGTCTTGCAGATGAAATTTAAAAATTGTGAAGTTTTTATCCTAAATTTGTAAAATATCGAGGAAAAGAAGAGGTATATATAAATACAAACAGAAGATTGTATTCTTCTGACATTCATGTCCAAGTCCAACATATGAAATGTTATGGGCAATATGAAATGAATCTGCTTCTGCTGCTCGTCAGCAACTCAATAGACTTTTTAATTCTTTGTGAAAGTTCTTTTGAATCAGTCAGTCATCTATTTCTTCACTGCAATTAGACAAGGCAGATTTGGACTCTATTTCTCAGTATATATCTGGTGTATGCTGGGTGATGCCCGGATGCGGGATCTTTAGTCTCACAATATGATGATCAAAGTGTTAAAAAGGGCAGTCCGATGCACAAAACATATGCAAGAGTCCGGGGAAGGGCCACACCTCAATGCGGTGTAATGTAAGTAGCCTACCCTGATGCATGCATCAGTGGCTGATTTCACGGCTCGAATCCGTGGCCTATATGTCACACGGAAATAACTTGACCATTGCTCCAAGGCTCCTTCAAAACGGAGACGAAGTATACCACCTCAAAATCTATTATAGATGATATTTCAGTACAAATAAGCCAAATTTAAAATAAAAAAGTTAGGGAACATGTTCAAATTTGCCCTTTGAACAAGGCAAAATGTCCTCAACTATTAACCGACGACAAATTATTTCAATATTTTTCTGCCAATATGCACTCATTGTGTTATAAATGTTTATAATTTAACATGTTATTATTTATTATAAATTTATATTAAAAAGTTATTTATAGAATTACTTGCAAATACTTTTTAACTGATTTAATTATATAATTTTTTACATATAGTAATATAAAGGCGAAATACATAAACAGCCCCTTCAAGTTGTCCTCAACGACCGGCTGAACACCTCAACTGATTCATTTATCATTTAGACACTTCAAGTAACTATTAATTGTATCAAGTAAACACCCGAGTGCTGAAGACTCTATGCGTGAGCTACACTTGTCAATGACGTGTCAAATGAGCCAATTAAAAAACGACACGTGTAAATTGGAATAAAAAATTGCCACATAATTAAAAAAAAGAAGAAAATACATTAATGATGAAATAGAAACCCTCACCAGCACTACCCCTCCCCCCTCCCCCTTCGCCCTCCTCGTTCCCCCCCTCCCTTTCATTCTTCTTTGCATCAGTCATGTCCTCCATCTCCTTTTCTTAAATCCCTTCCCCCCAACAAATTAATTTTCAAACCAATATGAAATAACAGAGAATAGCCAAATAGAGAATCCACCAAGGGATCATTAATTGACATTGCCGGATTATGCGACCTCCATTATCGAAAAATTATTCTCCAAGCAAATGAGATTGTTTGAATCTTTTTATTCTTGTATATGAGATTGTTTGATATGGTGAAGTACTACTTTTATTCTTGATTCTTTTTTCTGGCTCAAAAAACAAAAACTGGACCAGTGAAGGCTCTAGTTGGATGCCTGAACTTGAACACCTCTTCAAAATTTGTTTGAACACTGCTTGTGATAACTTCTTCAGCCATGAATAACCTTGAAGACCACTGGATTTGGCGTCACTTTTTAGTCTTCGGATTTTCGAGTTCTTGGTTTTTTCCATAATTAATAGAGGAGAAAAATAGAAGAAATAGAGGGAGAAAAAAATGGAGTAGTGGAGCCTTCACCGGAGCAGTGGCCGGAATGTTGGTCGGAATTTTGTTTCAGCACTGCTTATGAGGAAGAAGAAGATGCCTGAACTAGTTGGGTGAAAAAGGTTAGAGGAAAATATAATGATATAGTGTGGGACCCACAAACAAAATTTAATTTAATTTTGAAAACAAGAGAGAAAAAATATGATAAAAGTCTCACGCGCCCAAATTAAACTAAAATATACGTAACTTGCCATGTCAGCGTGAGGTGTTTACTTGATACACTTAATAGTCACTTGAAGTGTCTAAATGGTAAATGGATCAGTTGGGATGTTCAGCTGATCGTTGAGGACAACTTGAAGGGGCCGTTTATATATTTCGCCTAATATAAAATATTGAAGAAAAAAAAGAAGGAATTCCTCATCCCCATTTCCTTAAATTTCCACGTGTCTTTTTGGGAGAAAACAGTTTTGAAAGACCAATTTGCCCTTGCAAAGTTGCAGATTTCCTTCCTTTGTCTCAATTGTTTTTCTCCTCTCTATAGGCAAGAAGTTGTTCATTGCTTTTTTTCCGGCGCAGCCACTCGTCTTCTTTTGTGAGTTTTCATGTTTTCACTGGTTAATTTTGAGTAATTGACTGTACTTATGATATTTTTATTTCTTTTCATGTTCTTCTGTTAATTTTATATTGGGTGCTAAGTATTTTCTGTAAATTGTTTAGATTATTGGGTGTTGAGTATTTTCTGTAAATTGTTATTATTATAAACACTTTGTATTCTTTGAGCTTCAGGAAACAATTTTTAGCTTTGATTTTTGTGTCTAAATAATTGGGTATTAAGTATTTTCTGTATAGTATCAATTTGTATTCTTTGAGATTCAAGAAACAATATTTAGCTTTGGTTTTTGTGGTTAGCTCGGTCTGCTTATTTTCCTGTCCTTGTTGGACTAATTTTTTTATCTTAAAATTTGTCACCAAAAAAAAAAAAAAAAACTTACTGTTGGTCACATTTGTTAATTACTCAATTTTTGCTGCTATTTATGCTTGTTTGTCACGATTCTGGATATTGGAATGCAGTTGATCTTTTCTTGTCTTTGGGTTATGCTAATTGGTAACTAACTGAGTATTACGGATAATTTTTTGTATTTGCTACTTCCCATTATTCATTGAGATTAAGATAGTGCTTACTTACCCTCGGGCTTTGGTCTAGTGGTAAGGGTGCAACAAGTGATGTGTGTGTCAAGACACTTTACAAGTTCGAACTCTGCGGTAGACAAAAGCCTGGTATTTAAGTGGAGAAGGGTAGATAGCGGACCCATTATCCATTGAGTTTCGGACCATGCTGCTAGTTCTCATTATTCATTGAGATTAAAATAGTGCTCACTGACACAAGGCTTTTGTCCAGCAGTAAGGGCCAGCGCCTAATGTGTGGCTCAGGCGCAAGCTAGGGGTTCGAACCCTATCATATACAAAAGCCTGGTATTTAAGTAAAGAAGGGCGGAGGGGAGCCCATTATCCTTCGAGTTTCGAACCGTGACTTCCCTCGGAGATTTCTCTACTATCCAAAAAAAGGAAAATAGTGCTTGCCCGTGCACGAAGTGCTCCCCAACTAGTATGAGGGTATGGTGACTGGTGAGGGTGGGTGTGTATTGTAAACAGCCTTCCCCTTGCATTTCTCAAAAAGGCTGTTTCAAAATTCGTTAAGATTGAAGCAACACCTGTTAATTTGGGTATTCAAAGCATAAAGCAGGTATTTTTGATTTTTGAATATTTACGTCGGATTTGATTTTACTGTGTTGATACTCTTGGTAAACCAAATCATCTATTCCTCTTATAACCAATTTAGTGCTGTTTGTTTCTCTTGTCTAATCACCTATGTTGCTCGGACTCTCTGAAAATGCCACTGGATGCATGTCGAATCCTCCAAAAGTAGCGTATTTTCTGGATGATCCGACATTGGTGTGGCAGCAGCTTTGGAGAGTCCATGCAACATAACCACACATTCGTGCAAGCATTTTTGTATTGGTAAGTAGATGAGCAAATAAGACTTGCTTGTAAAGTACTCCAAAAGGGAACTTAAGTTATTCCCTTGTGATGATTTGGTGAGTTTAACTGTAATTACAAGTCACAATATAATCCATCTATAGTTAATAGTTGCAAGATATTGTCATTTTGCACTCTTGATGTGCTCTGTGATGTCTTACGAAGGAAAGGAACTTGTATGATGGAACAAAATACTCCTTAACCTTCATTTGCGGGGTATTTTCTCTTCAGCAAAATCTCCTCAAAGTTGTACTTGTCAGGTTGATGAACTAATGCATGCATGCACTTAAATAGTGTACTCTATAGAGGTTAATATTTGAATAACAATGCTGCATTCTGCATCAAAATTTTTCAGTACAATGTGTTGTCCTCTTGTTCATTAAGATTGATTTCTCCAAAAAAATATCCTGTCATATGTCAGATCATTTTTAAGAATTGCGCTTCACTTCAATGAAGCGTGCGCTTCGCTTCGCACTTCGCTTTTGAAGCGAGGCGAGCCCCTGTCGCTTTTTTGCGCTTCTCGCACTCAAAAACACTATTCAGATGCTTGAATGTTATCTCCCTTCATTTATCTCCATTTTGTTTTAAGGTTTCGAGATGGAGGATACATCTAAAGAAGAAGACAAGTTGTCTGATGGGGCTTCTGAAAATGCACCTCCGAAGGAACAAGAAACCCGTGAGGAGATGCTTTCAAGGCATAGGTACTTCTTAAGTCTCTCTCAAAATGGATTATCTTGGTAGTTGCTTCCACCCTCTTTATGTTATGGAAAACCTCTGTATATTTTGTACTCCTAATTTAGACCCAAGGAAGACAAATTGTCATGAATATTCATTTTATTGTGTCAATATCTGTAGCCACTTTGATTAGTCACATTTACGCTTATAGGAAAATTTGGTTCTCTTTCTGAGCAGATGGCTTATTCCTTGGATAAGATTATTTAACGGATCATCTATTATTCACTTTGACTGAACCTCAATGCGAACAGATGGCTGGCGATAGTGTTTGAGTTTATTGTGTCGGGGTGTTGACTTTTTAGCAGTCGCTCAATTTATCGTGTCAGATTAGTTACTTTCTGGAGAACTTCTAAGAATTTTATTGACGTCAAGAGAATCTATACAGGAAAGAGATTTCTCAGCTACAGGACAGAGAAATGGCAATGAAAAAGGCAGCAGCTAAGGGCAGCAAGGCTGAACAGAAAGCTAAGAAGAAACAAGTCGATGAAGAGGTGTCCAAACTTTCTGCTCAGCTCAAACAAAGGCACGCGGAGGAACTTGCTTCATTAGGCTACAGTGGTGGTAGTAGCAACGAAAAAGAAAAAGGAAATCTTGACACGTTGGTGAAGGCTATTGCTGGTGTTTCTGTCGGTGTTCAATCTGACAGTTCAAAACCGAGCAAGAGTGTTAAGAGGCGTGAGAAAAGAGCTCAACAAGAAGCAGCCAGAGAGCAGAGAATACAAGAAGAACAGAGTAACATTTTAAGCGATCGAGTTATTGAGAATGAAAAGTTAGAAAGAAAACTTGAACCCCTTGGATTAACCATTATTGAAATAAAGCCCGATGGACACTGTCTCTACCGAGCTGTCGAGAATCAGTTAGCGCTTCACTCTGGAGGTTTGTCGCCTTATACATATCTTGAACTCCGACATATGGCGGCAGGATACATGACGAAACACGCCACCGACTTTCTCCCCTTTTTCCTCTCTGAGAATATGAGTGAAGGAGAATCGGATGATTCTGTTGTGGAAAGGTTTGAGAATTACTGTAGAGAAGTGGAGACAACCGCAGCATGGGGTGGACAACTTGAACTCGGTGCTCTAACTCATGTCCTAAAGAAACATATCATGATTTTTTCGGGGTCCTTTCCTGATGTAGAGATGGGAAAAGAATACAAATCTGACAGCAGCACTAGCTCTTGTAATTTAAGTATAATGCTATCGTACCACAGACATGCATTTGGGCTTGGCGAACATTATAACTCGGTTGTCCGGAGTTTATCCTGAGAGGTATGTTCTATATCATGTGATCAAGTGCTTTTCTAGCAATATTTGTAAGCTTATGTTGTCCTCTTGGTTTACAACAATCTGCAGTTAACATACCATTTTCTGTACCAAATTATGTTAAGAGTAATGGTGTTTTTATGTGAGGTAGTGATTTCATTTTTGTAATTTAAGCAAATGTGATTTATTGTTCTTCTCATATATCAATGTGTTGCTCTCTGGTAACAGAAACTCAATTTTTCAGTTGGGACTTCTGATTTTATGAATACAAGAAAATTTTATCGCAGGCGACATCTATGTACATTATTGTGACAGTCATTTTTTGGATTTCTTGCATCTTGACTAACGAACTGGCATTTGTTAACATTCTATAATAGAAAGAACCATAGTACATATGTATTATACAATATGGTTTTATTATTATTATGGAGCCTCTATTTCAACTATATACTTATTCACTCAATTTTTGTGTTAAAAAGCTTAGTTTTAGTTGTTTCTAATCCTCAGCTGGAGAATTCATTTATGGGGCTAGTCATTTTCAAGGATGCTATTTAGAGATTAGTCGGTACTTATTTTGTCCTGAAATTTAAAAGTCTTAACTGTTGGACAATTCAGGATATTTTGTCCTAATTCAGGATGCACTGACTAATTCCTAAATAGCTGTCCCTTAGAGTGGCTACCTGATATCATTTCTACTTTATGAAGCCTTTTTCAACCCAATGCGTTCATCAAAACCTCTCTCGCACCCAGTAGCGGAGCTAAGGGGCACAAAAGGGTTCATTTGAATCCCCTTTGTCAAAAAATCATACTGTCAAAATTATTTTTAATACATATATTGTAGATATTGAATCTCCTTGACACAACCGAAGAGCTCGTTGTGTTTATTTCTTTATTTTTTACTCCTTTAGGAATCTACAGGATAAATCACAACTCATTCCCAAAAAAGCAACTCTAAACAATAGATTGAGTAAAATATTTTGTGTTTCTAGGTGTGAACTAGCAGATTGTGTTTCTGTTTGCAATCTATAAAAGTCTTGATCAGAAGATGAATGCATCTTCATGAACCTGCCATGAGCATTATCTTCATTTCTTTTGAAAAGGAGATGGGGGAAATGCAACTTGTGAAGGAATTCCCATTTTTAAGAGCATATAGGCATATTGCTTTTGAGACGCCAAGACTCCACATTGTAAAATTGTCATCACATATGCATAGTAGTATCAGACGGGGCCAGGTTGGGTCGGTTCGGGTCGGGTCGAATATAAACGGAGCAAAAATGGTAATGTAAAATGGATAAATTATCCGACTGGACTCATAGATAGTAAAAGGGTTAATCGGGCGGATAATATGGATATATATATTATTTATGGCTTCTTGAATATGATGACTTTTGGGAGAATTTCTAGTTTCCCAAACTTGAGGAACTCTAAATTGAGTTTTTGCAAATGTAAAAGTCAAACTCATTGGTGATTGGTTATCCAATTTTTAAGTGAAAAATATGAATCTTATCCATATTTGATTATTAAAAAAATTTATTATCCAACAATCACTTTATGATAAGGATGATGACACCAGAACCGTACCCTTTTTCTTTGACCTGTGATTTCAGTGCTTGTACTTTGTACTAGTACAATAGCATTTGTTCCAAATCCAGCTAACAAATTTGTAGATAATGAAGTGTAGAATCATCTGATTCCTCTTTACGAGTAACCCTATTATATTCCTCTTCTTATTATACAATTTGCTTGGATCTTTTTACAACATGAGGACATGCCAGAAGGCTTCCTTTCCCTATCAATGTTTAACAATTGATCGAAAAAGCTAAGAAATAGTAGTATTTGTTTAAAGATAAAACCACCTCGCTCGCATGGGCGGAGCTAGGGTGCAGAGACCGATCTAGAATTTCTAAATATGTGTAATGATCCGGTCGGTCGTTTTGAGAGTTATAGTCCCGATCCCCTATTTACTACTTTCCCCATATCTTTTTCTGCTTATGTGAGTTGCCAGGAGGTTTTGTTTTTGGTTTCGGAGTGTTTTGGGACACTTAGTCCTTAAAACGGAAGCTTAAACCTTAGGATTCTAACCGTAGTCGGAACTGTGTGAAGATGACTCCGGAATGGAGTTCCGTCGGTTTTGTTAGCTCCGTTGGGTGATTTTGGACTTAGGGGGCGTGTCCAAATTGTGTTTTGGAGGTCTGTAGCTGATTTAGACGTGAAATGGCGAAAGTCGAATTTTTTGAGATTTTGATCGGTAGTGGACTTTTTGATATCGGGTTCGGAATCCGATTTCGGAAGTTGGAGTAGGTCCGTAATGTTGAATATGACTTGTGTGCAAAATTTGAGGTCAATCGGACATGATTTGATAGGTTTCGGCATCGGTTGTAGAAATTTAAAGTTTCAAGTTCATTAACTTTGGATTGGAGGGTGATTCGTGTTTTTAGCGTTGTTTGATGTGCTTTGAGGGCTCGACTAAGTTCGTATGGTGTTTTAGGACTTGTTGGTATATTTGGTTGGGGTTTCGGGGGTCTCGGGTGTGTTTCGGATGCTCACCGGATCATTTTTTGACTTGAGAAAATTGCAGAAAATCTGGTGTTTCTGTTGCTGGTTTCCTTCATCGCGTTCGCGAGAGAGGTCTCGCGTTTGCATAAGGCATCTGGGAGGCCAGCTGAAGTTGTTTTTCGCGTTCGCGAAGTTTGGGCTACATTCGTGAAGGTTTGTTCAGTGGTGCATCGCAAACGCGTGAGGTGTATCGCATTCGCGTAGAGGAGGTTGAACGGCTGGGACCCCAGGGCATTTGTCTACGCGTTCGCATAGTAGGGGGTCGCATTCGCGAAGGAGCAGTCAGTGAAAGCTCCGCATTCGCGAGAGGTCACTCGCGTTCAGATAGGAGAAACTTGGTCAGTAAAATATTTGTTCAACGCCAATGCGAGGGTGAGGCCGCGTTCGCGAAGAAGGATTCACCTGGGCAGGATATAATATTTCAAAATCGAGAGTTTGGTCAGTTTTATCAAAACTTGAGTTTGGGAGCTCGGATTTGAACGAGATTTTGAGGTATTTTCAGAGACATCGATTGGATAATGATTCTACACTTGATTTTGGTTAAATCCCACTAATCTATCATTAATTCATCTTTTAATTTCGGATTTGGTTTGAAAATTTGGGAAATTGGGAAGAAGTTCTTCAACTAAAATTTTGGGTTTTGATTGAGATTTTGATATCAGATTTGGATAATTTTGGTACGAGTAAACTCGTGAGTGAATGTGTGTTCATATTTTATTACTTTTACCCGATTCCGAGACGTGGGCCCGGGTCGAATTTTGGGGCAATTTTCTAATTTCTTGCTTAAGCCTTGATTTCATTAATTAGATTAGTTTCTTATAGTTATATTTATGGTATGTATTTGCTTTTGTCTAGACTTGAGCCATTCAGAATCGGTTATTCGCGGAAAAGGCATTGTTACCGATTGATTGAGCTTGGTTCGAGGTAAGTGGCTTGCCTAACCTTGTGTGAGGGAAACTCCACTTAGGATTTGGTACTGTTTTGATATGTGAGCGCTGTGTACGTGAGGTGACAAGTGCGTATACGGGCTGTTTGTTGTCAAATCCGATTTTTTTCCCCGAGTAATAACTTGTTTCTTCTTATTTGAGTTATACCATCATGTGTAATTATTCTGTTTAGCCTAGAATAACATGTCTACGTGTCTTAAATGCTTATCTGAGCTATGTGCAACATGCTTAGTGGATATTCCTGCTTTTCTCTTGACTTGTACTTAGTCTAAACTGTAGGATCTCTGCTGCAACTGTTATTTTCATTGTTTGAGTTGTGTATTTACTTTGGAACTATGAAACTGTATTCCGGGAGATCCCCCTACATATTTATTTTGGGACTATGGGGCGGTACCCGGGAGATCCCCTAGATATTTACTTTGGGACTACGGGACGGTATCCCGGGAGATCCCCTTACATATTTACTTTGGGCCTCTTGCACTGTATTTCGGGAGACCCCCCTGAACATTTACGTTTGGGACTATGAGACGGTATCTCGGGAGATCCCCTGTTGCTATTTCTTTGTACTGTACTGTTATTTGTCTGTGATTTCCTTGTGGTTAAATTTCAGTCTTTATTTTACTGCGATATTTTGTTTCGTCTTATTTATTATCTATATACCAGTAGAGCCTTGACCTGACCTCATCACTACTCGATCGAGGTTAGGTTTGGCCATTTCTGGGTACCATTGTGATGTACTCATGCTACTCTTCTGCACATGTTTTCGTGTGCAGATCTAGGTACCTCCTACTAGCCTTGTAATTAGTTGCATACTTGTTGCTGCTCCGAAGACTTCAAGGTAGATCTGCCGCGTCCGTAGACCTCGGAGTCCCCTTCTATCTCTTCTTATGTTGTTCCTTTTTTACTTCTTCTAGATTTTGATGTATAGAACAGTTAGATAAATCTTAGAAGCTTGTGACTTACGATGTTCCGGGTCTTGGGAGACTTTGTATATATTTGAGAGTTGATTATTGTATATGCCGAGCGGCATCTCTATCATTCATTTAAATTATCTGTTGTTGTTAGTTGTTAAGGTTTTGTTTCATTGTTGGTTATTTCCGCAAATGTTCGGCTTACCTAGTCGTAGGGACTAGGTGCCGTCACGACATCTCACGGAGGGAGTTTTGGGTCGTGACATGTTGGTATTAGAGCTCTAAGTTCATAGGTATCATGAGTCACAAGCAGGTTCGTAGAGTCTCACAGATCGATACAGAGACGTCTGTACTTATCTTCGGGATGCTATGGAACTGTTAGGAAAATTTCACTTCTTTTGATTCATTGTCGTGCAAAATTGTTGACTTCAAAATTCTAAACTTCTGTCTTCTATTCTCTCACAGATGGTGAGGACACGTACGACCGGATCAGATTACCAGGCACCCACGCTCCCTGCTAGAGCTGCTAGAGGCCGGGGCCGGGGTAGAGGCCGAAGACGTCCACGGGGTGCAGCCAAAGCACCCGCACGAGCTGCCACAGAGGAGCCACCAGTAGCTCCAATCGGAGCGCAGGCACCTGAGACGCCTACTACTACACCAGCTCTTCAGGAGACCCTTGCACAATTCCTAAGCATGTTCGGTACGCTAGCTCAGGCAGGGTTGATTCCCCTTGCTCCTGCCACATCTCAGGCCGGGGGAGGAGCACAAACTCCCGCCGCCCGCACCCCAGAGCAGCGGGTTCAGGTCGATTAGATTCTAGAGGTTATACCGGTGTCACCTGTAGCCCCAGTTCATCCCGAGGGTAGGGGTAG